GGAATAACATAAACAACCAAAAACACATAAGTGAGAGTTATCAAGTATCTTTCCAAACAGTAATTCAAAATGAGTTTTACCTCCAATAACCCGTAAAGGCATGCGATTAATAAGATAGGTAGCAGTAATTACACATTCGCCCCAAAATTTGGCGGGGATATTGTCTTGGTGTTTGAGGGCTCGTGCTACTTGTAAAAGGTGATGGTGTTTTCGCTTAACAATCCCATTTTGTTGAGGAGTATAAATGCAGGAACTTCGTGGAAAATCTCATGGGAGAGGAACAAGGAAGAGCATTACTGGTTAAAAAATTCTAAAGCATTGTCAGTCCTAACCCTTTGAACCCATGTTTGGAGTTGTGTTTGGATCATGGAGAGAAAGTTAAGAATATGGGAAAAAGCTTGAGCTTTGGATTGCATTAAGAATATCTAGGTTTCGCGAGAAAAATCACCTACGACGGTAAGAAAATACTTGGATCCATCATGATTAGAGACAGAGTATGGGCCCCAGATATCATGATTAGACAATAAGAGTGAGGTATAGATGCACTGTGACCCATTCTTTGATGAAAAATCAGAGATTTATTATTAAAATTGGCATTACAATAATTTTTATTGCTAAGAAAAGAAAATGGTTCCCAGTAGTAGAGTCCCTAGTGGGCCTTACCCAAGCCCATCTGTTTGCCAGTCAAAAGGTCCTGAAAGGTACACATATTCGAAAGGAATTGCAATGTGCAATTATTGTCAGTGCAAAATTTGGATATAGATATGAGATTAAAATTGAAAGCAGGAACAAAAAGGTCATTTCGGAGAGTTATTGTTTCAGTAAGTTTGACTTTCCCCGTGTGGGTTGCATTGGCAATATTGCCATTCAGTATTCAAACAGATAAATGTGTAACAGTGTTTGTGTGTGATTGGAAATATTTAGAGTCACAAATTATGTGATCACTAGCACCTGAGTCAATAATCCATAAATCACGGGAAATTGAATTACTGAAACAAAAAGATTTACCTGCATAACTTGCGAAAGCGTTGTTTGTTGGGAGTTGATTCAACATCTGGATGAGTTGAGTGATTTGTTCAGGTTTGATCAAGGATGATGGGGTCTCGGATCCTGAAGTGGTAGTGACAATCACATTATTTGCGGTCGGAGGGCCCATTTTATTCTTAGAGTAACCATGTAATTTTCAACATCTGTCCCGATTGTGATTCCGCCTTTTGTAGTAGTCACAATACATTTTTTTACTCAATTGGAATGATCCGGAACCATTTGAGCCATGTTAAGAGTTGATAAAGTATGAGCCATTAGATGAATTGCCAAAGGTTTGACCGGGTTGACTGTTGACCTGCTTGACTGCTTGTGGGCTGTCAAATTGCTGGAGTGAATCTTGGCCATTCACGGCTTTGTATAAAAGAGCTTTTTCTTTCTCATTTGGAAGCCCTAGTTGCAGCACTCCATCACTTTTCTTTTCTCTGTCTGCAGCGAAGGCCATGGAATCACCCAACTGTGGTGATTTCATGGAGGCTAGACGTTGGCTCTCGTCCTGGATAGCAAGCTGGTACGCCCGGTGGAGGGACGTCAGTGAGGTTGTGGCCAACATCTAGGTGCGAAAGGCCAGAAAATTTTCATTTAATCCAAGGAGAAAATGGATTAAACGATCTTGTTCTTTGATTTGTTGGAATTGTTGCAGGGCTTTCGGTGGTCCAAGAAGAGGATTAGTGACGGCATCGAGCTCGTTCCACAGGGCTGAAAGTCGATTGTAATATGCCGTTACAGTCTAATTTTGTTGCTTGACATCGGTAAGATTTTGCCGTAAAGTGAAGATTTTGGCCAGATCCAACTGGCCATTCATTTCTTTGATAAATCGCCAGAGTTCCTCGGCGATTTCAGTTGGAGGTAAACCAGCGGCAATCTCCTGGGTCAAGAAGTTGTCGATCCACGAGCGGACCAACATGTTACATCGGGTCCAAAGTTTGTGTAGATGGGGTTCTTCCAGTGGTGTGACGGTGCCATCGATAAATCCGTCTTTATCTCTTGCGATTAACGTCCGTCGGAAATCGCAAGCCCAGGTCGCGTAGTTTTCGGTGCCGGTGAGAACGTGTTTAACTAGAACAAGTTCTAGTCCATCGGATGGGGAGGAATACAGGGGTCGCCGAGCTCCAGTTGGCGAGATTGAGGCTGTAAAATCTGGAATAGGTAGGGAAACGGGTTAGGGCCAGTTTGACCCGAAAACCCAAAAGGAAAAGTGTTTGGGTCTGGGAGAGGATTTGGGTTTGGGTTTGGGTTTGGGTTTGGGTTTGGGTTCGGGTTCGGGTTTGGGTTAGGTCCATTTGTGTGTGGGTTGGCTTGGCTGTTTGCTGGATCAGGCCTAATTGGGTTTGTTTGGTTTGTAGCCATTTGGTTTGGAAGACTAACTCTTGAATTTGTTTTGCAGAAAAAAAAAAAAAAAAACGAATTATTGGTGCGTAACAAGAAGAGTAGCTGGCAGGACAACCTGCTCTAATACCATGTAAGAATCTGGTGTTGTAACAAGCACGAGGAGGCAACCAAGTTACCGAAGAGTGCAAGAGAGGCAAAAAAAGAAGCAACCAAAGTTGCTGAGTATGCCGAGAAATTACCAGCAAGGAAGAAGAAAAAGAGAATAATTTTTGTATATATATCATTTCATGTACAGAAGTTACAATTTATACAATTGTAAATGTAATATGTAAGGAAACCAAATAAAGGAAATAAATGTAGATCAATACATACAAGGCAATTACCTAAACTACATATTTGGAGATTACTACAAATCTTCTAAATATGGTCTGTACAGTCATTTCAATGCCAACAATAACAAAGGAGAGGAAATAATGTGTTGTTGATATAGTAATTATTTCTTGCCAAAATGGTACTAGCTTTTATTGTGGATTCTATTTTGACAGGGGATTACCTTGAAAACGCTTGACAAGAAATTGGAGAGAACGAAATTGCATTCATATCGAAAGGTGGGTTTCTAAGTAAACATAATATTAGTTTGATTTCAAACAAGCAACTTTATCTATAATTTACATTTGCCAAGTTGGTGCAATATGAAATTTGAAAACAGACGATAAGATATATAATATATTATATATATATAGAGAGAGAGAGAGAGAGAGAGAGAGAGAGAGAGGAGAGGTTACATGGCTCTGTAGCTTGGAGTGTGAAACAAAATCGTATCAGACCTGCTTAAATTTTATTTTATTTTTTTCTTTGAGTCTTATAGTTAACTTACATGGGTTCTTTGTTAGCATGGGTTTGGGAGCCTAATTTAAACGTAGCTAAGTCAAAACTTGGGCTATACCTTAGTTTTCTATTGATAACTAGATGGAAAGCTTGTGTATTGCGAATGCTTGTAAACAGTTTTATAGTAATGACAAAAATCAATTATATTAAACCATAACAATTGTAAACATATTTTTTGTAGGTAATATATGGTTGCGTGTGTTTGGTTAAGATTGAAAGTGAAAGCGAAATAAAGCAGGATATAGAGAATCAATTAGTAAATTGAATATTCGGTCATGAGAAACTTTAAGTGAGAATATTTAATAATTTTGATTGTAAAGGAAATGTGTACATTGGTTTTTATTGCTATCAAGTAGATTTGGATGATATAGATGGGCCTTTTTGTTTTCCTTAACATATTTCAATTCCTCTGTAGCAACTGAATACTCCTTTGTTTTTATATCATAAATAATATTAATGGGTAGATTGCATGATGATTTTATATTTATTAAGTAGTTAATGTATTAATTTGTGAGAACCACTTTGATTCTTTTTTTTTTTTTAATTATGGTTGTCTGTGTTTTGACTGACAATTGATAATTGTTCATATCATCAACTTTGTCAATTAGAATATATTTCTTTTTGTAAATTAATTGCATTATTTTTAATTATTAAAAGTGTTATGTTCATTTAATATAAAGGAGCATATATTATTAAGTTTGTTTTCCAGTATTGGTGAAATAATTTTTTAGTATATTATATGCATGAGAAAGCGTTGTTCCATCTGAAAACCAAACTTGGACTGAAATGACTAATTATTTGTGAACATTCAAGAGAGGCGATTAATGATTCCATCAATTAGACTATATAAAAGTTTTAAGTTCAAAAAGTGCCCACCAATTAAGACTATATAAAAGTTTCAAGTTCAAAAAGTGCCAGGGTGAGAAGGATTAGGCAAGCAAGAGCTAACCAAAAATCCATGTAAGAATTTGGCTTCCATTAACTAAACCAGTGCCCATTCATCTAATCTGCAATGTCACTAACCAAATTGATCTTTTATATATAGACAAAAGGGTATGCTTCTTGATTGCTTAGGAGATTGAATTGCTGGCTGAATTTATCCCTAGTTTGTGAATTCTGAAACATTTAATTTTTTTTATTATTATGCTTTTGGGTTCTTTGTTTAAAGATTTAGCATTATGGCCAGGATTGTCGCCGATGGTGTTGCATGGTTCTGGCTGTCCTGGTCTTTGCAGTAATTTCCTTGGTTCTTATGCCTTCAGTGTTTACCTAATATCTTTTGTCCATAATCTCATCTATGAAACCATTGCAGGTCCTCTGCTGAAAAAAATCCAGCTTGGCTGGGTGCGGCCATATGTGTCTCCAACCCGTGTTCACTTGACAATGGTCCTTCATCTGGAAAGGTAAAATGTTACAACTTTTCAATTTCAGCTATTTGTTTCTATAGGGAAAGATAAAAAAAACACGCGTACAATGGTGGATACCAATCTATACAGGTTTCTAAAGGGGCCACTGGTAGGTTGCTGTAGAGGTGCACAGCTCATGTCTACATCAGTCGTCTTATTCAGGATCTAAAAATACCTGAGAAGAAACAAAAACTGTCTTTACAGCCTAATCAAGTGAAACCACCACATGAAGGGTAAAAGCAAGGGGTATTTAAGGCTTATTATGACTTTGAAAGGGTGGATAAAGGTGCAAATGGAGTTTATATTGACCAACGATATTACTTGTACTACTGCTGAAGAGATTCAAGTGAAGCTCGAAGTGGTATTCTTCAGCACAAGAGGCTTTATCAAGATCAGCAACAGAATACTGAGGCATCTCGAGCAAACACTCGGAAGAAGCAGGTAGGCGTGATATTGCCAATTGATGATGGTTTCCTCCTTCCCAATATACTGATCTGTTATTTGGTTTCTGCAGAGTTTCAATTTCTTGTCTTTGTCGGCTGGAAGTGTTGGGGGAGAAGCTAATAACAACTTTAATACCAATCCAAATTGCTTGATATATGTCACGACTCACAATCAATCAATCCTGCAGTATATTTCAAGGAAAACAATCAGTTGCATAGCAAAAAAATTTAGAAGAAGAATCACCCAACAGTAAATTATAAAAAAGACTAAAAGAGAAAGAATTTACACGACAATTTCGTTAGGTTAAATTGTGTTTCAAATGTTTAAGACAGCCCATCAATATAGGTCATCACTCAACAATTTACCAAAGCAACATCCTCACAGGGGTATGAAGTATCATATTTATCACGGAACGTTCACAGAATCGCAGCAATTGGTTCCTTTATCATTTATTAGAGTGGCAAAAACAAAAACAGAATTAAACTTAATTTTAAATCTTCTCTTTTTCATATAAGAAGAAAATTTTCCATTATTGCAAATACCTTCAAAACTTCAAGAGGATGGCACACAAGCGTACTAAAAACTCCTTGAGCAGCACCAGCCTCAGCAATCGGAGAAATCCAGTTGAGAGTAAAGTTCAGAACGACATGATCAATTTGCACCTTTGGGCATTCCTCTTTACTCCATTTCTCTTGTGCTAATGTCACTGCTCGCTTTACGCACTCAAATGTTCCAGGCTCGATTGCCTGGGCAGGAACTATACGGAGCATATTGATTGCATTGCTGGCCCACAATCCTTGCCAACCTTGTTGTTCGATGATCTCAATGAAACTACCAGAAATATTTTTGGATCCAACACCAACCACCATCCTTGTCCTGCAAATCAATTCTGCATCAACATTATTTTCAAATTGCTCATAAAGTAGCAATCATGTAAAAGTAATAATAAGGTAATGATCATTGAGACATATGTACATGAAAACAGAGTCATTAAAAGTGACTAAGAATTCACTTATTAATGAACTAAAAAAGAAATAGAAAAAATGAGCTAAGCCAACCTGATGGTCTCAAGAGGAGCAAGAACAGCTTTAGTCATTGCCCCTGCTAGAGCACCACTGAGAAACTCTCCAACTTCTCTCATCTTCACAACATCCTGAATACATCAAAGCATGTTTTTTTTACCAACAACAGAAGGCACATTTCACCCATTCAAACACCAAAGATAGTGATTTTTCGCAAATTTATCTTTGCATTTCCAAGATTAAAATGAGCCTATCAACCAATCTGGCTTACTTTGTTTTCAAGACCAAAAACATAACAGAATCATTTACAGTAAAGGAAAAAGATTTATCATGGATTTCTAGAATGAGAAAGAAATTGACTCTTGAAAACAATTAAGGAAATATGCAAATTTAAGGCACTGCCTTTTTTCAATCATTTCTTTCAATAACAACTGAAGGCCTAATTCATCTTATTATCCTAGAAATTAAGGCACAAAAGTGTGATGTACTAATAAAATGATAACCAAATCAAAGAAAACAAATAGATCATCAACAAATTCAATCAAGGAAGAGTCCATTAACAGCAATTACAGTAAAAAGTAAGAAAAAAAAAATTCATCTCTTTTCACAAAAGAAGTTTAGAAAAACTATATAAGCCATTCCTCAAACTGCATTCCATTGATAGCATCAGATCTAGATAAATGGATATAATCAAGCTTCAACATAGATGAAAAAAGGAGTTTAACATTACCTTGGATTTGCCTACAGTGTAATTTAAAAATTTTGAGCTGAAATAGGCCACCAGCACTCAATCCTGATGAAAAAATGAACAAACATAATGTGAACAAAAAATAAATAAATAAATAAATCATGAATGCAAAACAAATAAACATATTTCTAAAGGGAAATTCACCGAACAGTTAGTGTGCTTAATATGGAACAACTTGTGGGGCAAATTTTTAAGCTGTTTATATTATTCCATGATCGTTTTGCACAGCCATGGGAGCTGAAGTTCTGGAGGCTGAGGAGTAACACTAAATAGACCCCACTTATTTCCTAAACGACTCCAAATTTAAATTCATTCTACCAAGCATTAGTATCAAAAACAGAACAGTTCTGATTCTTATGTTGCTTCAACTTATACCATATTGTAGACATCTATGAACTACTTCACTCACAAAAGATAGAAAGGAAGAAAGAAGAAATAAGAATGAAAACCTATACTTGCAAATTACCAACTAACCATGCTCCCCTCCTCCCTTCTCATAAAAAAATTGTAATTAGAAGAGAAGGACAAGTTAATACAAAAATTTTGTTCGTTTCACATTAGTTTTAGGCTGCCATTTGGTTTAGAAAATATTGTATTATTAAGAATATTATATAATATAAAGATAGATTACCTTAAAGATTATTGAAAATGTTATATTAAATGTATTTGGTTAATTGAAATAAATTAGTAGTATTTAGATTACTACCTATACAACTAACGATAATTACTATTATTTTGGAGGATTGCTAGAATCTTATATTACTTGACAACCAAACATGATAATGAAGTAATATAAGATGACATTATTGAAGTAATATAAAATGCTCTCAACCAAACGAACCACTAAGAAAAATTTAATACAAAGTAATTGTCTATAACAATGAATCAATTAAACATGAATAAAAGTAACATAGATTGACACATTGCATGAGATCAAGGCCGGCCCAAGGGGTTGGCAGAAAGGCACCTGCAATAGGCCCCCCAAAAAAAAAAACCCCAAAAGGGGCCCAAAATTATTTAAATTTTTTTTAAATAGATTTACAGAAATACCATTGGACCCTAAAAAATTTTAATTTTTTATCAAAACTAATCTAAAGGGCCCCAAAAAAGCCAGAAAAGCCCAAATTCATTATACTTTTTTTTTTTTTTACATAATTTACAAAAAAACCGTATTTCATATTTTCCATTCACACCCATAATTTAACACTAGTTATTTAAATGTCTAAAATTTCAAAACACCCATTCGATCCCTAAAATGATGAAAACATTGCTCTCCACCCCTCTACACCGCCATAGTGTAGCTGTCGGCATTGAAGTGATGATTCCGGTCAATTTTCTCACCTTTGATCGGATTCATCGCTTAATCATTTCCAAAACGTTTTCACAGCCTTGACAACCCCCAATTTGGTTGATTTTTGCTGATTTTCGCAACCCATTTTCATTCTTCACCGCGTGCACAGTTCTGCATGTATTCGCTGTCGTTGACCTTCCCCGACACCAACATCTTCGTCCCCTCAGCCCCCTCCCCAAAAACCCTCACTTACTTGATCCCGGTAGCCCGTCGTCAACCTCTCGTCCTCACAAGAAAGATTAGGTAATTTGGTTATATTAACATTGAAAAAAATTGGTTTTCTAAACTTGAATATAAAATTTAATTAGTGTTTTACATCTCAAAAGGCAAGAAAAAAATTTGAAATAATTTTAATATATGCTTATTTATTAAAAGGGCTCAAGTAACTCTTGTCTAGGTCACAAATGTTCTTGAGACGGCCCTGATGAAGATACTTGAATGTGTCTTATTAGCAAAATTTGGCCATAGGGGTTTAATGGATTGCCAAACCTCGGAGGACCCCAAATAATTTCTATAATATGGGATGTTACGTTTTCACCATAAAGTTTGAGGTAAGTTTTTGGACTCACATTTTTCAAAAATGACAAATACATCTAATTTTGTATCCCGCGCCTGAATGAATATTAATGATGGAGGCAAAATGGCATATGACTCAAGTGTAACTTACCTCAAACCGTGGGTGAAAAATTATCCTTTATTTATTATTTTATAGTCTATTATAATGCTATTTATTTTCTCTTCCTTATTTTTCTCTTGTCTGATCTCTCCAAATTACCTCTCTACTTTTTTTTTTTTAAACAATTTTTTGGCCCCAGATACACATAACTTGGTAATCAATATTAAATATTTCCCTTAGCCTTAAAAGATACCCAAATATTGCTTTGATATCTTGATCCTCTTTATTTTGAAAACAAAAAAAAAAGGAGATATAAATCTAACTTTCTTAACTATAAAATATTGCAAAAGTAATACAATTATTTCATATTATAGTTCTCGTTTGATATATACTGTACGTATATAATGGTGTAGGGAAAAAAATAATGCAAAACAAAAATTAAACCCAAAAGAAAAAAAGAAAAAAATAAATTTACCGTAAAACACAAACACTTTAGGAATCCAACAAGCTTCAATAAGGAATCAGAGATAAAAAGAAAAATCAACAAATTTTAGTAGGAAATCAACACAAGCACAAAGTCACCCAAAACAATCAAACCTTACAAATCATATATGCTTTTGTTCATTAATGTATGTTAAATAAGGAAAGAGAATCTAGTTTTGTTCTAAATTATTAAGGGTTAAATCTTATATATACTCGTAATTATTTAAATAACTTAAAACATATGGATTTTATGATATTTTTTAAACCTTAGGGTAGTACAAGTATTTTTCTTAAACTTCATAGAAAGTAAGTATATTTTGCAGTTTCTATAATGAATTTAATATAATGCTTAAAACGTTTCAAGTGGTAATGAATATAATAGTATTTATGTCCAGTGTGGCATGCCTCACAAGTCTATTGGAATAGTAATTAAGTTAATTTCATATTAAATTTCTACAAGTCCATGGTCTACAATTGGAATAATAATAGCTAATCAATCTCTATCAATGGAAGAATCAACTCAATCCACTTAGTGTAATTATTACGTTAATTCTATAAAACATAACGAAATTAATACATTGATTTTGTAAAGCATAATGAAATTCAAGTCACAGCTTCTTTACTCACGTGTGTGTGTGTGTGTATATATATATATATGGGGCAAGCAATGTCAATACTAAGCTATTATAGATAAAAGGAGAAGAGCTAATATGGCAAGCAATATCAGTACTTCTCGTTTACTTATTTGCTTCTTCCTCTTCATTATCACTCTCCTCTTTACTTCATTGGTAGCTCTTGCTTAAGGATAACTAAGTGGTTAATACTTTCTCTTTACCTCTCTCTCTCTCTCTAAATATATATACACTCCTATAATTTTTGTAATAATGATTTCCTGTGGCGTTATGATATATATCTTAATTATTATTTGTTTTTAACAAAGGGTTTATTTTAATTAGTAAAATTACAATTGGGATACATATTAATGTAAACGATAATCTTCTATTCAAGTCAATTTCCGTAAGACAATGACTATTATATTGTTTTAGGTAATATAATACACCATTGATAATAAGTGAATGGATATATGTTAGGAATCTTGTATATTTATTTTTAAAACTCATATTTCTTATAAGATTGATCAACGAGTTAAAAACAAATATCTTGTAGGTTTGATTAAATAATAAAAATTCCCTCGACATTCCAAAAATTACATAAATCTCCATACCATTAAGTTATAGGTGTTAAAATAAATGGTAGGAGGGTAATAAGGTAAATATTCATTAATCAAATAGTGCATCAGTTCTAATGGCTCCCTACCTGTTCATTAATAGTAGGGGATATTTGTTATTTCAAAAACCTCAGTAGGATTTTTTTATTTAATCAAACCTTAGGGGGGTCAATGTCATTGACCCTTTATCAAATATTATAGCTATTCATGCCTTGTGATTCTTGATTCAAGTGTATGACTCATTGTATCTTACAGATATAATATTTTAAGTACTAATTATTAAGTAAATTCCTTGCAAATTAAGAATCCAAGGAATAATAGTTATCCTTCTGTTGTCTAAATTAAAAAAAAAAAAAAAAAAAAAATTATGGTAGCTAACAAAGCATGAATACATATAAATTCTATATACCAAACTTTATCAAAACATTTAAAATAAAATCACAAGTTAACATGCAAACATGGATTTAAGCTTTTGGAAGAAGATTTGGTTTAATCTACTCACCAAATCAAGCTATAATTTCAATGGGGCATTCTAGACAAATATATGTTGATCCAGTAATATTTTCAAGTCATTTCAAAATCAATAACTATTTAAAACACAATTTTCCTTCAACTCATTTAAATCTGCCAACTGTTTCCAGAATTGAGGTTACTGACTTGTAAAATTCATAACAATTCAGCCCTTAATCTAAACCTCATGAAACTCTCCAGAATTAAACTAGACACATATAGGATTCACCAGAATTTAAAATCACTCAATTTGGATAAGTATAAGTGCATTATTTCAGTTCTGAAAAATGCATGCTCTACAGAAAACATGAAATTCCAGAATTTCATAGCAGAATTCAAAATTCATTAAAAAATCCAATACTTCGAATTTTGGGGTGAAATCAATTTTCAACCAATCTCTAATAAGTCTAAAACAAAATATCTGAAATTTAGCTTCATTTGCAAACCCGAAACATATATAAAATTTTCAGAAGTTCAGGCTGTCAGAATTTCACAGCATAACTTTTTATAACCAAAAACATACTTTAATAACTCTTGGTTCTTTAGGATCAACATATATGCTCCACCCATATAAAACTATTGCATTAAATCTCCAATTTCAGTCAACAACAAATTCAGCCACCATATCCAACATACTACTTCCTATAATTTCTTTTCTATCACAAACATTGTGAATATGCATAAAATGCACATATGCTTGTCAAAATTAATCAATATATAAAATCCATAATTTCCATACCCTTCATTCCAACCATTACTACCACCAATTAATTATCAAACAAATCAGCCCTACCAAAATTAGCTGGAATTCTCAATCATCAACCAAATCAAACAGGTGGAAACACAAAATTCTGCTTTCCATTCAACAACATTTGGTATAGGCATAATTATTTATACATGCATGTCCACACTTACTTCCAAATTTCATGATATATAATATCATTCACATGCATGCCAAAGATAGTTTACTGAAGATGAATATAACCATATCAAAGCTGAAATAAATTCGAAGTTAAGGCATTTATGCACAAACATAGAAATCATTTCACTAAAAACATGATTTTATGCAAAGTTCTA